AATGCGATTCAAGGCGAATTCTTGCACCTGTATACCCCATGGGGTCCTCTAAATATTATTAAGGAATGGGTAAGCATTCATACACAATACTTACCAATTATATCAATCATATACCTCAACAAAGCACGTATATTCACATCGATCACATAAAAAATAAATTCTAACACATGTTGTTGGTACAAACTCTACACCCGAAAATTGATTCCCCTGAAGGGTCTATCTGAGATACTGCCATATTGGGGCCCGATCACTTCCCCCGAAAGGTGTATCATGATCATCCAAACTCACTACTTTCCTTGAAGAGTCTATCATAGTCAAGAACTCTAACACACACACACACACACACACACACACACACATATATATATATATATATATATATATATATATATATATATATATATATATATATATATATATGTGATGACGTATCCCACCAGGAATACGTCGAAATTAATGGAACCGCCAGTCTGGTAGATGGTTTGGGCAAAGGGTAGTGTATGTCTAACACCGTGTCCTCACCCTCGCGACTCCGTATTCATTCCTTGGCGCCCAAGCGCCAAGGTTAGCGTTAAGACAAAATAGTACCAGTTGTCTCCCAGAGTGACAGGTGTAGCGCTCAGCGTGCCGCTCCTGGCAAACCTGCACCAATAGCAAACAACCACTTACGGAGCACGATCTACAAATCACAAGACACTTGTCCCTGCCAGACCTGGAAAAGTAGAAGATACTATCGGGGATCTGTTCCCTTGACCATAGGTATAAAGGGTCCCTTCTCCTCCAAGATAAGGGATCGAAAAAACTCAACTCTTTCACTTTTAGCAAACCTATCTTCTCTTTCTAAGAAACTATCTAACTTGATCGTTAGAGCCTCGTTCCGGGACTGCCTCCCGGACGACGATTGTCGATCTCGTTTTCTTTGTCGTGGTTCTCAGGACTTCCATTCTACTCTCCAGAGAGACGGAATCAAGACGAAGACGTATCACAACAGTTGGCGCTATCCGGACGTGCACCCAGTACGACATAGCCCACCTCGCAACATCAGGTGCCGGAAATGATGGATAAAGGACCGAAACGGCAGGAAGGTGGCGATAATAGCCTGGTTAGACCAATGCAACCCCTCGACAAAAGTGGTCCGTAGACACTGGAGGGGCAGCCGCTCACACAGACACCGATGACACCGCCAGTCGGCTCCACGATGGAGTTCATTGTTAGTCTATGGCGACCACCTGTCGCAACGGAACATCTGGCAACAACTACCACCACAGCGCCTCAAAGAGCGCTGACCACCCAATCACAAAAAACACCAAATCAACCACAGCCATCGGCACGGCAGGAGGGGACCAGTGCTTGGTCCCCCGAGTCCATTCTATCAGCCGCATCACTTGCAGGCCACCAGTCTTCCCCGATGGCCGCCATGTCGCATATCCCGTTATTCGCCCAGCAACCACAGTTCAACCCATATTCATAGCACTACCAAGGCGTGTACCATCAAACACAGACACAAACCCACAACATTCAAAGCATGCCAACACAGGGGATGAATGCACACGCTACGGGGCTAACAGAGTCAAGTTTTCTGCTGAATTAGCTAATGCACGCATAGCCCACGCAGGCATCGTATATGCCTCAAGCGACCATGTACAACCACATGTACCATTACGAGTATGTCCAATGATACAACAGCCCATACTGCACACAGCAGGCGATGGCCAACGGAGCACTCAATTACCCACATATGAACAGCCCCGTAACAATTATCAGCTCGACGTTCTGCCAAGAGCTATTACAGTATGAAATACTGCATTCCGCCATGATACCAAACTTCCCAAAGTATGACGACATGATGGATCCTAATGAACACACAGACACCTACGAGTGGACAATGACGCCCCTTCGGATGGACAATAGATTCACTTGCACCTACTTCCTGGTCACACTATCGGGAAATACTAGCAAATGGTTCAAGGCACTACGTCCGGGAAGTATCTCCAGCATCGAACAATTGAGGTACCTTTTCTTCCACAACTTCATGCAATTGAGGAAAGTCAAAGGATATACCAAATCTATCATGGCATGCAAGAAAAAAGAGGGAGAATCGATCCGAGCGTACTATGATCGGTTTACCCTTGCTATCCTGCGCGTCCTCGGCCACGAGGAATTTCTTGTTGCGGGGGCCTTCGCCCAGGGACTACTCCCAGGCCCCCTGTCAAGGAAAATGCAGGGAACAATGCAAAAATATAGGGACGAGCTCAAATATAGGGTCGAAAAATATCTCAGGCAGATCGAGGGAGAAGAACGCAAACAAGCCAATCTAAAAGCCGTAGCGAAAGCCTACCTCAAACAAGAATTAGCCAGCTCCCACTACCGCCATATCCATAAGGAATGCAACGATGGAAGCCATGATAATCATAACAGACATTCGAGACACTCATCTCGTAGATTCCGCCTGTTCGTCAAGGATGAGCCTAGGAGCCATAAGATGGAAGTGCATGCGGTGGAAAAAAACCCTTAGCGGACAAAAAAAGAGAAAAACAAATATTGCGAATACCACAAGAGCAAAACCCACGACACTAAAGAGTGCGCGATCCTCAAAAAGGAAGTAGAAGACAAACGACTGAGTGGAGACTTAACAGAAATCGCGAAGATTCTACGATCAAAGTTTGAAGGCGAACGGAAAGACTGGAGAACCCGGAAGGAGACGAGCAAACAACCAGTCAAAAAGGAAGATATCTTCGCAATCGAAAGCCCTGGGAACAGAGCCAGGCGTCGACTGCCAGCCAATAGCGTCGAAGGCTTACCCGACGATAGTCTCAACATAAGTTTCTCATCGGAAGACTCACGAGTGCCCAACTGGGACCCTACAGATCCAATCATAATCCCCATCCTCGTACAACAACATCAGATCTGGCAAGTCCTGGTCGACGGAGGTAGCAGCACCGATGTCCTCTACGAGCACTGCCTCGAGCGACTCCCGCCATCTTGGAAGAGAAGCCTAAGACCACCAACCCGAGCCCCACTCGTTGGCTTCATGGGACGCAAACTATGGCCACTCGGGACCATAAACCTCCCATTGACACTACTCAGCCACAATGGAAAGGAAAGGGTAGCAAGAATAATCGAGTTCTCGGTAGTTAACCATAAGTCAGAAGGCGATATGATCCTTGGGCGACCTGCCCTCTTCCAGCTACAAGCCATCCCGTCAACAACACACGGTACAGTAAAGTTCAGAACACCGAACAACTCAACGATAGTAACAGCCCTGAATAGACAGGCAAAACCACTTCGGGCGATCGCCGCTTGGACTACTACGCACATCCCAAGAAAGTGGCACACAACAACAACTAACACCCATATGGTCAAGCACAAAAAAACAAATATCCACACCCAAGACAAGAAGAAAGGACGCCAACCCCAAACGAACAGCCCAGGGGGGGGGGATAGCAACAATATTGCCACCCCAGAAACATCAAAGATTGTCATCATGAACACCATGCAAGGTTAGACATCACTGGGCATACCTACACGGCTTCGCACAACAAGGGCACAAAGCATGGAAAAGAAGGAAACGAAGGAACACACGCACGAAGTAACGGAGCTTGATTGGAAACACAAGCAAGGAACCACCAACACTGGAGCAGAAACGATAGACAATTACCCAAAAAAAGAGGATGTGGACAAGAGACTCACTACAACCATAAGAATCCGCAACTTGCAGAGGCTTCCCCCAGGATGGCACATAGTCAATAGCCTCGCGAAAAACAGAGCTAGCAACGAAAGAGTTACGCAGAAGTAGGCAAAACCGCCCAAAGGTGACGACGAGGCAACCAAAGCCGGAGAATGGTGGAAATTGAAAATCGTCTTCCGAAAGCCAACCATCCCAGAAACAGCCAATCACGCCCATATACGATAACGAGCGCTGGAAAGCTCGCAGGCATGAGTCACCGAAAGACACAAAACAAGAAAGACCAAGAAGAAGAATTCGTCCCAACGGCCTGGAAGCCCCAGAGGCCAAGCCAATAGTAATAAATCGAGAGGAATCAATGGAAGGGGCCAAGTGATCAAACTCCTAACGGATAATCACGCCCAACTAGTCATTCAAAGAGCTAAACCTAGAATAGAAAAAACTATCGGACTCCCGATACTTATCTAACAATGTAGATGCCTCCAAGGCACCAAAAAATATGCAATGAAAAGAATATTTGTAATGAACGAGTATCAACATACTTTCATACAAAGGGCAAATAAAAACGGACTGATCACACGTGCCACCAAACACAAAACCAATGAGAAAAACACAACCATAGGCCTCAAGGGCTCATCACTTCTCCCTAATAAACATGTCGACGAGGTCAGGAGAGTTGCAATTCTTGATCACGACAAGTAAGATGCCTTAAAGGATCATAACATTTCCCTTGAAACGCATAATACCTAAGCTCTTAGACCCCAAGGTGACAACCTCGATCTTGCTTAGACAACTAGGGGATGAGTACCATTCTCCTTGACCCAGGGCTTAGAGCAAAGCCCCAAAGCGAAGGCTTTCGACTAGGAAAGAAATCCTAACGGAATGAACCAGCCAGAGTTCGCACCTACAGTCTAACTAAAGACTCGACTCACAGAGACTAATCTGAGGGTGAGCGCCAAGCCCGTCAAAACAGAAGCCCTGTCTCCCCAAAGCTTGCTAAACAAATGATAACCATGACCAAGACCCCGAAAGGCCAACACTAACCTCTGGGAGAATCCAAACCAAGGTTGGCCAACACCAACCATCCGATACAACAATAAATAGGGGGGGGGGGAGAGAAACACGATGAACTAAAAGAAAACTTAACACACAAAGAACATATTGTGTAACTCGGACAACCCCCCAGGATTTGAAAATGACCATGCAAGGCCAAAGAAGAAAATTAGACATTGTCCCAAAAACTGTTCGAAAAACACCATGAAGATGCAAATATTATCTTAAACATCAAACATAAACAAAGGGTAAAAGCCATCACTTACTGAGTGGTGGAGTAAGGTCCAACGTGAGAAGAACCACCTTCAAGATGGCCTTCTTCGGAGTCAGGATCATCGCACATCTGACGAAGGCCCCCTATGTCCAGCTCACCCAGGCGAACGTAAGAGGAAAAGTCCGTCTCCATGAAAGATTTTATAGCAGCATGCATCGCCTGAGCATTCTCCACAGTAGCGTCCGGTTCCCCGGAGACAAACTTTCCGTAGGCAACCTGCGCCCGAATCATCTGTTTGCCATTCTCTACACCGGCAACCACACATGCCATATTCATCTGCTTAACCCCCAATTCAAGCTCAACACTCTCAACAACCTTTTCCACCACCCGGACAATGTCCTTCTGAAGCAACCACCCTAAATTCTCCTCTACAACTTTCCTCCTTGCAATCTCCTCCTCCAACCTCTTGTTAGCACAATCCGCCTGTTCCTCCAACGCCCTCTTCTCCTCCACTAAAACCTCAATCCATTGAGAAAAGTGTTCCCCCGACCTATCCAAAGTAGCCACTTGGTCCTCCAAAGACACCTTCTCCCCTGATAACATATCATAACACTCCTCGAACGACCGCTTCTCTCCCTCTAACTCTAGCAAGCTTGCCTTCAGTTCATACCGCTCAGCCTTAATCAAAGAAAATCGCTTTGACGAAGGCGAGAGGTAGTCGCCACTATGTACAAACCAACCTGTACAACTGCATATAAAAGGTTGTTAGAAAGATGCGAGTTAGAGAGGAGTTCCAAAGCCTCGATGGTAGCAGGGGGAAAAGCATGGGATCCCCAGTCATACGCCGCCGAGTGCTGGGAAAGACGAGATTCCTGGGTTATCCCCCACCCTGGCACATATATAGCCGATGCTACCGGAGAAGCAGAAGCAGAACCCTCAGCAACACCCTCCCTAGTTAGAAGCAGGACTGGTGAGTTTGGAATACCTTCACGAACAACGTCTGAGGCAATAGTTTCCACTGGCTCCTCTTTAGGTCCACAGGACAGTTTAGTCGCCCCTTCTTTCATCCCCTCCAACTGTTTTGGAGTGTCATCATCAGGGATGTCAACCACTACAGTGGCCTCCCCCAAAAGGAAGTCCATGTTCCGCCTCTTGAGAAGGCGTTGACCTGAGGAGCTGGCCTCGATAAACTCTGAAAGCAGCAAATCTAGCTTGGAGAGCCTTCGTTTAGAAGCCATACGGGTGTTATGCCGAGTCAGCCCGGTCAACGTCTCCTCCTCTTCCGTATCAGAAGGAAAATGGTCCTCATGGGAAAAGCCACCAAGACAGGTGCATCAATCAACACCTGAACAATGGGAGGATTAGGCATGGTCGGAGAGGCAGCAAGAGGGCCAACAAGGGACAAGGCACGGTCAGTACTGCCCGGTGGAGGGAGTGTCTCAACCAAGGGCACTTCTCGATATTGGCAGGTGCCCTGAAAGTGGCCCCTCATCACCATCTCAAAGGGAAGGATCCTCTCGTGACCTACAAAAAAGTAACAAGCCAACATATTTCGCAAAAAACACAAACAAACACAAGAAAACATCAATCCGAAGGGGGGGGGGGAAGAGAGGTACTTATCATCTTTCTTTACATAGAACCAAGGCATCATCCCCCGAGCCCTCCAAGCAGTACTCATCCTAACTGCGGCAAACATATGATCCTCCCAATCCTCACCATTGATTCATATGGTCTTCAATGCTTGTGTCACAATGGCATTTTCACAGTTCTGTCACTCGATCGAAAAAAGTAGTCAAACGAGGATAGCCAAAACCAACAAGGTTGCGATATACCCAGATCCACCGGTCGTGCCAGTTCTTCTTCGGAGCTTTTTGGTTAATGATAAAGGCATGAACACCCCGCCTCTGGGAAAAAGTCCGAGCGCCATACTGAGTAGAAGAATTGAAGAAAGCTTTGAATGCCAAAAACTGTGCGTGACATCCCCATTTTCACGGCCAGAAAAGACCGATTTTGTTTATGCTTGTTTGAAAATCAGAGTAACATTTTAAATAAAAGTGTTGCGGAATTTGTCCCAAAACAAAATATGATAAAGATTTATCAAAAGCATTTCCAAGGAAATGTATTTCATTAAAAGACTCGGGATGTCATGTTCGATACAGATCAAAAGCATAAACAATACAACATAAGCCTTACTACATTATTTCATATCTACAGGCCTATATCCGTAATCCCTCATCCAAAACATCACATCTATGCTCGAGCGCCACTACCTGTAATACATGAAACTAAGTGGGTCAGGCTTGGGAGCCTGGTGAGCACATAGGGTTTTCAACCCACAATAAATAAGTTTATTAATTTCATCAATCAACAATAACCCGATTACCCGTTCCCGTTATCCTTACTTTACGTCCCTAAACACCTATCATAAGGGACCTAGCCTAAGGATCATCATCGGGATGGACACTACTGCTAAGGGGGTTCCTCGGCAATAAATGTCCTAAAGGCAACCATGAGGGGGATGGAGTAAACCGGTGAACACATCGTTCACAAACACCTACAGGTTGCGAGCCTGCTAGCGTTCCACTGGACTGTTTAGAAGAGTCCGTGGTCGTCATCTATACTCCGCTAGATGACTGGATCACCAACAACATCGAGGCCTCTCATCATTTTAACACACATCGTCTTATTACATCTACCCATGTTTTACCCCAACATTTTTGTAGATATAAAATACATATACAATTTAAATCATGAAAAACGTGTATAAGATCATTCATCCAACATAGACAGCAAGTATTCAGATAATATGCACACACAGCACGTAATTTATATAAAATACTTCATATCTATGTGTAAGATGAAAGTAACTATGCACTCACCTGATTAGGTGGTGACTCGGTACTTGAACAACACTTCTTTATCTCAAAACAATTTTTCCTTGACCAAAACCTAGTATTAATACCACTAGAGTTTAGTTTTAACGTTAACCGCGACTAATTAATAGTCTAGCTATTATTATTATTATATGAGCGTTAAATAACACCCAATAGAACTCATAATAATAGCCCAAATAATTATTTTAAGGACCTAATAACATTACTATAATTATTTAAAAGTTATATTAAAAATTGCGTAGGCGTAGCTCACTTACAGCGGATTTTAAAGAAAACCAGGCTTTGCTCGGAGCAACGTTTCCGAACCGAAAGACCCTTTTTCTCGGGACTCCGGGAGCCTCGGGGCTTCCTTCGGGTGCTAGGGGTTCACCTAGGCTTAGGGGAGGGTTAAAACCCTTAGAGAGAGAAAGTATTTTAGAGAGAGAAGGAGAATGGTGTGAAAAATCCGGAAACCCTCGCCCCCCCTTTTATAGCCTGCGAGGCCTCGGACTACGCTGGGCGTAATCCTTGGCTACGCGGGGCGTAGTCTTCGGATAAGGCCTCCAGCTGGCTTCGCACGCGCCTACTCTCGGAAGTGGATAAGGCTGAGTACGCCGGGCGTACCCAGCTTCGGACGCGGGGCGTAGAGCCAGGCTTCGTGGCGATCATCGGATGCGAGGCCGTGCTCCGCAAGCAACGGCTGAGATTTGGCCATGTCACCACCTCCTTGCAGATTTCGCAATTTTCCTTCCCGACTTCTAAAAATCATAACTATCGCATACGAGCTCCGTTTTCGACGTTCTTTATATCCACGCGTAGGCGGGAACGTACTCTACAACTTTCGTTTAGACTCTGTCGGCTAATTTTGACTTTATTTTAAAACTTATATTTTTAACAGGCCGGGACAGGATTGGTCCGTTAAAAATTCATAACTTCTTCATCCGACGTCCGTTTTCGTCTGTCTTTTTATCGTTATGCTACTATTAACGAGATCTTCGATTCTCGTTTAGGTTGTGTCGGCTAAAAACCGCTCGATCTAATATTCGAACTTCGGGCTGTACACTGCTAAGCCGAAATTTCGAAAAATCATAACTTCCTCATACGAAGTCAGATTTGGGCGTTCTTTTTATGGACGCTCTTGGTTTAACATTTTCTACGACTTTCGTTTAGATCGCTAAGGCTAAAACTCGCTCTATCGTAAATTCAGTATTTACGCTTCCCGGTATCGTGCTGGTTTCATCACGAAACTTCGATGGGTCATAATTTCTTCGTTATAACTCGGATTTCGGCGTTCTTTATATCTCCGAAATCCTTTTTTCGACTACTACAACTTTATGTAAAGATATCGGGCTTATCTCGTACTTTAATTTTGATGCTTATTTTTATTCTTTATTAATTATACATTTATAATTAAATAATAAGCATATAAATTCACATAATTCACAAAATACTCAAGTATCTCATCTTTATTACATCAAAAGAGTGTTACAATAGTTGACCTAGACTATTACATCGTCTAAAATGCTTAGCCCTGAAACCCGGGCGTTACACTGTGGCAAAACTCCAAGGGTGCGACAGATGAGTTCAAAACCAACAATCTTGTTGACGGCGTTCAAAGTCAAATCGTCCACATGGAAGCCATACTGACGCATCAAATTGTCGAAGAAGTCCGTCATCGGCAGCCTCGAATATCGGAATGGGGACTCCAACATACCCCTCAACGGACAGGAAATTATAGCCCCCTTTCGAGGGTATTCCACACCTTGATCAGGGAGAAAGCCAAACCGCTCTTAGAGACCAGCAAAATCGCTCGGAGAAGGAACAATTTCGGTGTTGGGGCCAGCCATTGTTCGTCTAAAAACAGAGAGAAAGAGGGAAATAAGTAGCAAGAGTAAGAAGAAACAAGAATAAAAGAGAAACTGACACAAACGGGGGAAGATTTAAATACAAGTGTGAAGTTCAAGCGGTTATGATCATTGAAATCGCCTGTGCAGACGCTACTGTCACGTCAAAAGTTATCAAAGAGCCATCCCCACCAAACATGTGTCCAAATCTAAGCTAGAACAACTCAACTACCCTAAGCAAACACTGACATCTACTAGCCTAGGGGACTTGATGACGTATCCCACCAAGAATACATTGAAATTAATGGAACCATCAGTTTGGTAGATGGTTTAGGCAATGGGCAACGGTGTCTAACACCGTGTCCTCGCCATTGCCCTCGCTATCGCGATCCCGTATTCATTCCTTGGCGCCCAAGCGCCAAGGTCAGCTTCAAGACAATATAGTACTAGTTGTCTCCCAGAGCGACAGGTGTAGTGCTCACGGTGCCGCTCCTAGAAAACCTGCACCAATAGCAAACAGCCACTTACAGAGCACGATCTACCAATCGCAAGCCACTTGTCCCTGTCGGACCTGAAAAAGTAGAAGATACTGTCGAGGATCTGTACCCTCGAC